TACCACAACTTTGCGCGATTTTCAAAAAAGATAGTCTGCAATCTTTTGTGAAGCGATTTTTCGCATTCTTGCATGAAGTGCCCACCACACTACACCCTGCATGCAGCAGACCTCATCTGACGCACGCCTCAGATAGCCACGCCCCATTTTTGCTGACTTTCATAAAATAAAACACTTTCATAAAATGAAACACTTCCGCCCCGACGACACCGCCCTTTTACTAGAGGGTTTGAGGAAAGACTCCGCCCAGTTTTCACAGGGCTTATTGAAAAGTTTGCCGCATTGACCTTGGCCATCCTTTTCAGGGGACTTTACACAAACATGATGTATATAGTTCTCAGACTACCGAAACTAAGCTCCATCCCCTCGCCCACCGCCTTGTTTCGCCATCTGTTTTTTTTCAGAATTTCATTGCTTGAAGTTTGAAAAATTTTGGAAACTTTCGTTACACCAATATGAAAACTAACAAAAATACATCATCTAGAAAAATACTAAGACAAACAAATAGAACAAAACGAAATAAAATATATATAAATAAAATAGCAATATGAATGACGCTAAGGTTATACATGGAAAACTTTACTTATTTTCCGATATTTTCCTTAGGCTAAGGCTGAAGAGTAGCACAAACGAATCCTTCAGAAAGGAACTCACGGATTCCCCATTTTTTGTGTTCTTTAGCTGCTTTCCATGAGAAGAGGTAATTCAAAGCCGAAAATGGAATCGCAAGTGGAACTAGTAATACTGCTATATTCCAGTTTAAGACCAGGTTCTTCAGGTAATACGATAGAGGCTCGACACCATAAAGATCTGGTCCATGTTCAGAAAACACATTGTAAAGAACGATGTTGAGTGGAGCCTAAAAAACGCAAACGCAATTTATTAATAAGTTCCAAGACACATATTTTGTTGGCGCTGTTCGGATTGGCGGGGCACGAAATGGTACTCAGAGAAGCATGTGCAGTCCACCATGTGAAAACCTGCAAAATCTTGTAACCAACTTGGCTTCCAAGTTACATTTCGCAACATTTCGCAGTTTCACAATAGTTTTCAGGATTCATCAAAAGGAGACCCGTTATCTAACATGAACTAGCAAGAGGAACTCATGAGTGCGCCAAGCGCCCCCACCAAGCTGAACAGCGCCATTCTGATATACTGACTATGACAGAATTTCATTGCTTACCAGAACTCGTTTACCATAGTAGTAAGAATCGACCGCTAGAAGAGAACCACAAACGACAAAGCCGGACACGGCAGCATAATACAAGAACATCTTTGTACTAAAGATTGCTTTGATGAAACGAACCAAGTGATTGTAATTATTTAGCTGTTGTTGCAAGCCCGAACTGAGACGACATAGGAATACTCACTTCGGTCGAATAACCAGCATTTCTAGGACGATTGGAAGACCAAGTGCGGCAGCAAAAGGCCAACCAACAAGTGCCGAGACAGCTGTACAGAAAATCGCGTAGAACCTGTAAAGGTAGAGGTCGGAAGTCGAGATAAGGGACAAAGTTTTGGCGCCGATCAGTCATCTTTTGGATGCGCCACGCATTCTACTTCAACTCAGAATTGTAGTGGATTCTGAATGAGAAACGAGTACGATTCCCGAGGGTCTGCATACAAACAAGATTTTTGAGATCTCCCAGGAGGGTCATTCCACAGACGGAAGGCTTAATTGGCGTGAGCGAGAGCCGATCAGGGGGACTGAATAGTACGCGTATGAAAAATCAACAACAAGATGACTACACTCACCATTTTGCATTTAAAAACGCTGCCATAGCGTACATGTTCATGGTCATAGCAAAGGAAGAGGGCAGAAAGGCAGTACTGAAATGGAGAAGAAATAATGCCAAGTGCACCAATATAATGTCAAATTTCAGCAGAAAAAAAGCTAAGAAGGCAGAGGAAACGGACAAGACAATTGT